CCCCTGTCGGTGCAGGAGGCTTTGGCCAGGGGACGGACCCCCCTGTCGGGGCTGAGGGGTTTGGTCTGGGGACGGACCCTCCTGTCGGGGCTGAGGGGTTTGGGCTGGGGACGGACCCTCCTGTCGGGGCTGAGGGGTTTGGGTCGGGGCCTGGGCTGCAGGGCTGCCGTGAAGCACTGCGCATCCTGCTGTTCAGATGGAGGGAGACTGGCCCCTCCAAAACCAAGCTGGCTTTCTAAAGCCATAGTGAAAAATCCCTCTCCTCTTCTTCTCGGCAATGAAACAGCAGAAGAGAAGACAGGAAGTCAATGAGGAATATAAAGCATTTTTCAGCTTTCGGGGCTGGCGAGGAGCCTCGGAGTGGCTTTGCGCCTTTGCCTGGACTGTCTTTTAGCTCTTTTCCTCCTTATATCCAAGTTGATGTTATCGGCTCTTATTTACGGGTTTGTCTGCTGACTGGAATTATGCATGGCAAAGATGTTTGTTTCCTATGCCCAAAGAGAGGTTATTTTAACCTCTTTGAAGGAGCTAAGCAGTAATTCTTGATCTGAGAACAATCAAGTGCTGGTCTTACTGGATAACAGCATCACTTATTCATAAGGGGATATTGACACTTCCAGTTTAAATACTGTTCTGAAATTGTTTTTATGAAGCTTCATTAAAAGTGATTTATAATGATTTCCATGCTCTGCTCTTTTTTGTAAGACCCTAGGCAACAAAAAGGGAGCAGGCGAGCTTGAAGACTGCCATGTGAAACTATGCTTTGAAACGGAGCTATAAATCACCATGAACGTAACAGTGAGAGTGCCTATGTACATAGTGATGTCAAGCATAAAAAATACAGGAATCAGGAGGGGAAAAGGGAGGGGAAGGACATTTTTTAATGCTGATATTTGCAATTTTAGTTATTTTACATGTGAGCAAAACATCATGTACAAATCTGGTTAGCAAAGCTAAGATTCCCTTGGTATCTTCTATAAGACTAAAATCCCAGCTATCTTCAATTAAATTATCATTTTATGTGTGTTTAAGCTGTGACTGCTTCTTTTAAAAGCAGTGCTCTTTCATTCCCTTCTTCTCCTCCCTTCTTCTTTTTGCAACCCTTCCACCTACTCATGCTGTTCTGGGCATGGTACACAGTACAAATGCTTAAGTCGCCACCTGGTGAAACAGGTTGGGGAACTGGTCTGACTGAAGAATTAAACTTTTATTTAGATCATTTTTTTCCACCTGGATCAGTTCTCTAATAGAGTTCACCCCACAAACACTCGTGTGGGTGGAGTGCAGGGAACAGAGCAGGGGCTTCTCGTTGACCTGTCCGGAGCGGTCCATCTGCCTGGTGGCTAGCTTATCACAGATTGCCCTACCAATACAATGCAGGACTCCTTTCATTACGAAGCAGCACTTGGTAATAACTGAGCAAAGGCTTTTGGACGAAGAAAGAACGAAAAGACGCAGCTGCTTGTCCCAGGAGACAGCTAAAGGGGACATGATAATAATGTACAGAGCATTTGAGCTGCAGACAAAAGTAGGCTGAAAGCGTCTGTCTCCACAAGAAAAGTATCGAGGCATTCAGTGGAACCAAAGAAAGGCATTGAAAAGACTTAGAAAGCCCTTTTTCACACAAGCTCACTTAGCCTTGGTACTGGCTGCCACAGAACTGCTGTTGAGTGGTACCAGGACATCAGAAGGACTGACATTTTAATATTAATAGTTTTGCAAACTAATCTCAAGAATTTTTGAAAGGCTGCAAGCTTCTTTAACCCAATAAATAAACTAACCGATCTCTACCAAGGATTCAGAATAAATTTTCCTAATTATCTACCTGCAGGTTTTCTGGTCAGAAAAGGGATGTGGTTTCGGATAGTTCAACTGATGTGGTGTTCAGATTGGTATGTGAGAAGCTCCCTCTGCTGAAAAAACAAAGTATGTTCAATCAGCTTGAATGAAAAATCTGTTGGAGGATGTAAGCTACGGTGGGCCATTCTGCATGGCACTGACGAGTTGACACATGTTCTGGATATGGGCTGAATGAATCCTGAGTAGCTTGCATCTAGTAATTGAAGAAAAATGTCAAATTTCAGCTTAACACCTTTAAGCAAAAAATACAGAGGAATATTATCAGTGGTTTTATAAAC